ATTATGTTTTTGATTTATTTCAGATTTGGTTTCAAACAAGCGTGCCAGATGGAGGAAGCGAGTCCGTGACAACAAACCCGCTTTTCCACCAATGAATCCAAGCTACATTCCACCAGTTGCGGCAAACATTCCACAATATAATATGATGTCTCCTTCAGCATTGATGTCCCAAGTAATACCATCGTCAGTTGCTTCCAGACCAGTTTATAATATACCATCTTCCATCCCAGCACCATCCAACAATGCCACATTTCAAAGAACGATGTCTTTTCCAACATACGTCAACTCGTACATGTATCCTCAGTTTAGATGATGACCTAATCATATTGTTTATTGTTAATGATATTGTTTTAATATTGTTGTTGTATTGTTATTTCAAGATTATCTGTTTATTTATTGATAAATAAAATATTATTAAGATATCCTACAGTCACATTTCTTCTTTTAACATCTTAAAAGTTACTTGAATAGTTATTTGTATAGGCAACGAGCAAAACATGATGACTCAAAGAGCTTTCCAAAGGCAATTGGTAAAATCGGCTTTTTTGAACTATATATGCTGAGGATTACAATTGTGAGTTCACTGTGCTCTGTTTGAAGTTAACATTATATAGTACTTTCGTATCTTGGGAATGTTTTGAAACGCAAAATACTACAAATATTAGCTGTTTTTAGACAGGAAAGACGGTCAACAAGACAGAAGTGGTATTCAACACACATTTAGCGAAGCATTTTCAATTATGTAGACTAATAAAACCCATCTGAAGTCAGGACTGCCCAAGAGTGAATTTATATTGTCTAATGGTGTTCCTTGATTGAAGGGCACCTTTAGGGAAGGTTGCCAAAAAAATGGGGCACACATTGTTTTGTTACAGAATTGTATCCTGGAAAATTATTCAGTTTCTGTCTTTTTTGAACTTCCTTCGACCTTCATTGTGCTGATCTACATATCGTCCTGGCACGTTCAAATTGGTTATTTTTAGTACGATACACAGCACATGCATGCAGGTGGCTGTACAGATCAAGATAATCGATGAACAAGCCGGAACTTAGACGATAATAAACCGAGAAACGACGTGTAACCATATAAAAATGATAGTAGAAATAAATTAAATATGAATTATCTTCAATTCTTTATTTCTCGTCGTGATACCAAACCCCCAAAAATTATAAATAATATATACATAGATTACTGATATTTCTTATAAATAATTGATATAAGACCTCAAATGGACCAAAACGTTGATGTTAACCTGGTTGCTCATATACTGTAATAAATAATCAACGTGAAATGAGTAAAACAACACGAGTCGTTATTGTTAATTACATCACTAATCAACTGTCAATTCCATCAGTGATTGAATTGTATTAATCTAATTAACTCGATTAAATATGCCAGCATTAGTCGAGTTGTCACATTACTGACAGACAGGAGTTGCTCTGTATTTGTCTAAAAGNTGTATTTAATGTTGTCCTGTCTTGGAAAATGTACATTAAAAGTTAATGATCTATTAGTTTCTTTACATTTAAATTATACTCTAGTTTAAAATG